GGCCCTCCCGCCGGGAGCAGCACATGGGGCGGGGGGTGGTGAGGCCGCCTCTGCCCCCTCTTCCCCCCGTGGCACCCCGATTGCCGGGAGCGGGGAGGCACCTGGCTCCTGGCCACGGAGATGCCAAGGGCTCCACGCAGCGGTATCCACCCCGGTGGGTGGCCCTGGCCCGGGCTGGGTGCTGCGTGTTGCTGGGTGCCTGGCAGCCCGCTTGCTAATTTTGCAGCAATTAGTTGCAGCGTTATCGCTGCCGGCGCCATAAAGCGGCTGTGACCCTCATTAGGAGCCCATAACGGAGCATCGTAAAACACCGCGAGGCCGCGAGCCAGGGTTGGAGTGGCCCTAATCTGACCCATAAACACTTTGCCTTCGTTTTCCCCAAGCTGCTGCCTGCACCGGGGTGGGCAGACCCCACCATGCCCAGGCCCCGCTGCCCGCCCGCCTGCCCGCACAAGACCCCTGGGCACAGGAGGAAGCCTGGCCTCAGACCTTCCGAGCTGGCACGGTCCCCAGGCACACCTTCCCCTGAGCATCCTGCTGCCAGTAAGAGGGGACAGAGGATCCCCCCAGCACGTGCTCAGGATCCGGCCCCAGAGCTGCTCTCCCTGGCTGCATCGCTACCTGCTTCACAGTCTTTCTGCTTTCCAGCAAGACCTGCCGGGGCCGTGGTGAGCCCTGCATGCAGCCTTGCCCATGCTCTGCATGGATACTGAGGTCATGTGAGTGGGGTGTGGCTGTCACTGTCACCCCCCACCCCGTAGGGCCGCGCCGCCAGGGCCAGGGCACAGCTTTGTCCATGCTGCTCTAGCGTGCGAAACCAGCAACTTCCACCATGACACAGTTTCACTGCAAGGGCTGGTCGGTGCTACAATCCCCCATAGCACCATCCACGCCGTGCTGCTCCCCACCTGGGCTGCTGGTCCCCACACTGGGGGGCTGGTGTGTCCCCCCCCCGGGGCGCAGGGGCACACGGAGCAGTCCCCGGAGCTGGCAGCCCCCGGCAGCTGTTCATTCCTGCCGGCGCGTGAAGCGGACGAGAACATCAATTTCACGGAGCAGCAGCCGCCTCTGCAGAGCTTGCAGCATGCCGGAAGCACAGAAAAATGTTGGGTTCAGCTCGATTCGAACCGAAACCAAATTAAAACCAGAGAGGAGAGGTCGTTCCCAGCGCCAGGAACGCTGGGGAAGAGCTGAGAATCAGGGGAGCCTGTGGGAGCCACAGCTTGGGATGGGCATGGAGAGACCCCCCCCATACCCCAGCCAGGTCCTAGTGCTGGGTACGGTGCCGGGTGGGAGCAGGGCAAGGGGACCAGTGCTGGCAAGCCACCCTGTGCCACACCAAGCATCCCTGCCAGGCCAGGGTGATGCCGGGCGCGGGCTGGGGCACGGTGGGGCTGTGCTGACGGTGGGGCTGTGCTGCAGGCAGGCGGG